TAACTCTAATACAAAATCACTACTAAGGACAAGACAAACAACTCCCACAGCTTTAACTTGTGCTTCACCCCCATTACCCATGGTGAGTGTCCTTTGGTTAGGATTGATTTTTCGGCTCCTTATAAATCCCTGCAAGGAATTAGAAATATGAATAGTAGCCCTGGAATCAATCTACCAAGTATTTGGCGGAACAATGGCTAAATTAGATTCTGAACACACTAGACAATAGGTGCTACCTTTCTTTGCTAACCAATTTTTGTAACCAAAGCATTCATTTTTTACATGACCTCGCTTGTGACACTAGAAGCATTGAACTCTCTTTTTCCCCACTTTATGTGCCTGACTGGGTCCAACATTATTAACATTTGTACCCTTTTTTCCCACTTTTCTTATTATTTTTCTTGACTGTTTTTTGATCCATAATGTGTGTCAAATCGGGGTTATGTCGGGTTCGCTCTTTCTCTTGTGCACACATACTAATTAATTCTGTTAATTTCCACTTATCTTTCTGCGCGTTATAAGTAGTTTTAAAAATATCGAATAGCGCAGGAAGAGAAGTCATAATAAAGTGGATTAGAAAAGAGTCACTAACTTCCATATCCAAATTTTTCAATTGACACACAATATTAGTCATTTGCATGATATGCTCACACACACCACTAAGACCATCATATTTGGCAATTACTAATTGGGTCATAAGAGTGCTAGTCAATGACTTAGTCGAAATAGTAAAGTATTCTTCTAGAGCTTTTAAGGAAATCCTTAGCCAATGATTTACCAGGAATGGCACTCCTAATATATTTAGGAATATTATTCTTAATATACATTAGACTAAATTTATTAGACCTATCCCATTTATCCCATTCCTTTTTCACCTCCGCACCACTAGTGTCTGTAGGCTTAGATGGTTCATTTGACCTAATGGCTAAGTCTAAATCCCCAAGTCCCAAATTGAAAATAATTTCATCTTTCCAGTCCGAGAAATTAGACCCAGGGCCTTCACACACGGTAATGAACCAACTGTCATGGAATAAAAAACATAAAATATAATTCACATAAAATCAAAATAATTAAGGCCACAATTATATAGTTTAACTGATGGGACAAACAATCAAACTTTCCAGAATTAATAAGTAATACCTCAAAATAATTGACTCCGAATAGGATCAACATCACATTCAACAATATTTCATTTGGGTCAATATAATTAAATGTTAGTTTCCCACTAGTAAAACAAATTTCACTTTTGAGGCTAATTAATTATAGAAAGTAATATTAAACACATATATACCTTTGGGCATATTATATTATCAATTATATAATCTACATTAATTACCTCAATCCGTTTAATTGGACAAATCTCAATAACCCGCTGTAGGTGCAAAATTTCGCTCAACCAATAATGATTGAGAAAAATAAAACAACTCACTCAAAAAGCAATAAAAATAAATAAGAACAATGTATAGAGAAGCGTAGAATTGCTTGATCCCTTTATTGGAGGTCTTAACCTCTATTTATATACAAAAGATTGCAAAATTATGGTAGGACTCGCGTTGCTTGCCCTCCAATTCTTTCTATATAAACATTCTTTACTAATAGAGTTCTTTCCATTGTCTAATTTTCCATACATAGAACTTGCCTTGTACAGAACTTCCTATCTCAGAATTTTCCTTCTACAGTAAATCCTTCAACTGGTAGGACTTGTGCATTCTTGAATAACTGGGCTGAACATATTTTGATCCGGCTGGGCTTGAGTAACAGACCGGATGTTAAATATTAACAAGCTGGGCTGATGACTTCTTGATTCGGCCTTGATGGAGGTTGGAGGACAAATAACAATGGTCTTGGGCTGTAAATACCCTCAATTTGGGCTTGAGCATGATGGGCCTTATATGTCCTTGGAATGTAGATATGTGTAGTGGTGACGTGTGCGCTTTTTATTGGAGGGAGTTTTTTTCCCTCCACACTTTGCCCCAAATTTCACACAAATCGAGAGTTCGATCAGGTACCACGAGATGAAAATGCCGAAGCAGATCAATTGACCGCAGCCGCATCATCTTCAGATGAAGAGTTGATTCGGCTTGTTCCAATCGATATTCTCGAAGAACCCAGCATTAATCCCCGGCAAGAGGTGATGGTGATCCCGGAAGTACCACGCGAGCCCTGCTGGATTGATCCAATCGAGGCCTACCTCCAGGAAGGAGTTCTCCCGAATCAGAAAGCTGAGGCAAGGAAGCTTAGGCTTACCGCGGCTAAGTACGCAATCATCAATAACCACCAGTTGTACCGAAGGTCATTCTCCGGTCCTTATCTCAAGTGTTTAACCCCTACTGAGGCTCTCATAATTCTAAAACAAGTTCATGAAGGAGATTGTGGAAACCACTCGGGAGGAAGATCCCTTGCACACAAAATTCTAACCCAAGGTTATTTTTGGCCATACTTGGCTCGGAATGCCGAGGAATACTCAAGAAGATGTGACAAGTGTCAGCGCCATGGTCCAATAAAGCATCAACCTGCCGAAGGTTTACACGCCATGGCTAATCCATGGCCGTTCGCCCAATGGGGGATTGATATAGTATGACCATTACCCAAAACCATGGAAAAAAAAGGAGCATGTGCTTCTGGCTACGGATTACTTCACCAAGTGGGTGGAAGCTGAAGCCTTCTCTAGCGTCACCCACGAAGAAGTAAAGCATTTCATTTGGAGCAACATTATTTGCCGGTTTGGGGTACCAAAAGTCATCGTAATGGACAATGGTAAGAACCTCGATAACATAAGTACAAGGAAGTTCTTTAGCGAACATGGAATCCTGCAAAAATTGGCTGCAGTTAGTCATCCACAAGGCAATGGGCAAGCTGAAATAACTAATCGCACGATATTCGGGTGCTTAAAGAAAAAATTGGAGAAATTGAAGACAAAGTGGTACGAGAATCTCCCTCAAGTGCTCTGGGCCTATCGAACCACTCCAAGACGACCCACGGGAGAAAGCCCATTTGCTATGACATATGGATCCGAAGCTGTCATTCCTACCGAGTCCATAATCCCAACCCTTCGGACATCCTTGGTACTGGAGGGGAACAATGAGCAACAACTCGAACATAGCCTTGATCTTGTGGACGAAAGGAGAGATGCAGCAGCAATTCGTCTCGCGGCATACCAACAGCAGGTGTGTAACAGTTATAACAAACGCGTCAGATTCAGGAGCTTTGTGGTAGGCGATTGGGTTTTGAAGCAGGAGACAGCTCATGTAAAGAAACTGGAACCTAATTGGACTGGACCCTACAGGGTTACCGAAGTAGTGGGGAAAGGAGCATATCGTTTGGCCGAAGCTGGCGGACGTCCCATTGTGCGTCCTTGGAACGCAATACACCTGAAAAGGTATTTCCATTAGTTAAGTTTGTCAATTTTGCTACAAATTCTTCACAAATAAGGCTGCGTATGTCCACAGTCAGCCAAACTTTTCTTTATTTTGCTTCTATATTCAGTACAACTTTCCTCTATTTTTGTTTCTTTTTATAAAAATGGGGGGCCATACTACTCTATGATTATGCGACTTTTATGCATGCATGGCATTCGTTATGCGACTTTTATGCATGCATGGCATTCGTCACAATGATTTTTTCAAAAAAAAAAAAAAAAAAAAAACATGAGTTATGGCCTGTGCTTAAAACTTTCTATCCCACATCGACAAAAAAAGTATGTGCTACATTCTTTTATATATGGAAATATTCAAATAGCTAATTACGGTGTAAGGAGGGCCCACTGGTATTTAAGGCTGTCAAGCTCAATACCAGAGGCATTCCTTACACCGACCTTTTTGACAAAATTTAGTCTATGTCCCACATCGGATAGAAATAGAAAAGAAATGCGGTTCATATATGCGTGGTCCACAACATTTGGTTGCCAAGAAGGGAGTATCAGTGGAGGAGGCAGGTCTCCAAAGTCAACAAATGGAAAACTTCACAGCCACTGTTACTCACTTTCTTGGCCTCTTATCATTTTTGAATCATCGGCCTCATGATAAGTGGTTTGAGGAAAAATATAAACAAACTTCCCCTCAGGCTCAGCGCCGGGGAGTAATTCATTCGCCTCGGACCTTAAGTGTCCGGTTCGGCAAAACCTCCCCTCAGGCTCAGCGCCGGGGAGTAATTCATTTAACCTCCCCTCAGGCTCAACGCCGAGGAGTAGTTCATTCGCCTCGGACCTTGAGTGTCCGGCTCGGCAAAACCTCCCCTCTGGCTCAGCGCCGGGGAGTAATTCATTTAAACCTCCCCTCAGGCTCAGCGCCGGGGAGTAGGTCATTCGCCTCAGACCCTAGGTGTCTGGCTCGGCAAAAATCTCGCCTCGGACCCTAAGTGTTCGGCTCGGTAGAAATCTCGCCTCGGACCCTAAGTGTCCGGCTCGGCAAAACCTCCCCTCCGGCGGGCCAGTGAGTGTTTAATTCGCCTCGGATCCTAAGTGTCCGAGACAGCTTCGGACCCTAAGTGTCCTATTCAGCACTAGTCCTCCACGACTCAGTGCCGAGGGACAATTCGCCTCGAATCCTAAATGTCCGAGACAGCTTTGGACCCTAAGTGTCCTATTCAGCAATATTCCTCCACACTCAGTGCCGAGGAATAATTCGCTTCAAACCTCTGGTGCCTGGATCAGAACTCTTTCCTTCGGACTCCAAGTGTTTAATACCCTGTGGATGTGGATATATCATAAGTTCATCATGATCCACCCCACATCAGGAACACACGAGAAGGAAAGAGTATGTATACGTCTACTGCAGGCAAATAAAAGGCAAGGAGGGTTCATTTAACAGTTAAATCATTGTCCATATGAATCATCCTGAGATATCAACTAAACTGTTAAAAGGATCTCCTTCTTCCCACCATCCTTGCTTTTTCGCGGATAGCATAAATCCGAAGCATAAAGACAATGTTTATTGTTTAAACACATTACCAGTCAGAGAAATATGAACAGTATCAAAAGCATACAACAAAAACAAGTCAGGTAAGCCTAAAACAAAAGATTATATTCATTATCCCAAACATGTTGTCCATAAAAGCAAAATACATGGTTCTACTTCCTCTTCGGATCGAAGGGAGTAGATTCAAAAGCATCCACTACAGTAGGACTTGGGGTAGGAGGAAGTGAAGCCGCAGGAGCAGAAGAGCTAGGAGTACCCTTCAGGTGCACCTTCACCATCTCGGCAAAGCGGATTTCAGCTTCCAAAGCCTCTGGCCCTTCATCGTATGAGAAGTGCACCCCCACCTGCTTGTCAAAAGCGTCCGGATCCATCGTCCTAGGGCCTGAGTCCTGAATATAGCCAGACCGGAACGCTTTAGCACTAGCCAGGTGTGCCAGACAGGAGTAGCGCCCCTGCATTTGCTTCCTCGCCTTGAAGCAAGTAGTAAAAGCCTCGGTCAGGCGTTGAACTTCGGCCTGAAGAGAATCCACCTTAGCCTCAGAGGCTGACAACTGCCTCTTATACGCATCCTTGGCTTCAGAAGCTATCTTCAGATTGGTAGAGGCAGTAGTGGCTCTCTTCTCTGCATTGTCAAGATCCTTTTCCAGCTTCTTGATGGAGAGGGATTGGGCTTCAGCAGTGGCACAGAGGGCCATGGTGTGGTATAGACTCTGTATAACAGAGGAACAAATATAAACATAAATAGAAACATAAGCAAGCAAGAGTAACATAATTCTGAAGGAGTAATACGAACCTCTATGGCCCGGACCAGGGCAGAGGGGAGTAGTTGTTCCAACCCCATTTGGCTGATGGCGTCCTCGTCCTTTGGGAGCCACATTCCTTGAGCCACCGCCAGTGCAGCTGAAGGGTCTGTAATCACAGAACCCCCTGAGTGCAGGACTGACCTGTCAGCCCTGGTGAAGGAAGGAGTCCAAGGAGCCCCAGTCTCAGCCAGAACAAAGGCCCTGACTTCATCTTCAGGTTCGGCCTCTCCAGCCTTTTTCCCTCTGCTTTTAGAAGGGACCTTGCCCTTGCCAGAGGATGAGGGGTTGAGGCGAGATTTCTTCATTAGTGGTTCCTCAACCTCCACCTCATCCTCAGTTGATCTAATAACGACCAAGGGTTGGGCATCTTCGGCTTTCTTTTTTAAAGCCTCAGCCCTCCGTACCTCCTCCTCAGTCATGGGAAAACTGTTAAAGGATGGTAGAGACAGATCCATGAGGTCTGCAGCAACAGCACCGGAGGCAATATCCTTGAGGTTTGAAGAAGTTAGCAGGTCCTCAATAGGCGAGGGGTCACTCCAGACTCGTTCCTCAAGAAAAGAAAGTCTGTTCCTTGCTGCGGAGGATGGGAATGTAGCTGAAAAAACACCAAGAAACTCATAAGTACGGCGAAACATTAAGACTTGGCAAGGAAAACAGCCAGAACACTTGGTATGAAGGGAGGTTAAGTATTCTATACCTAATTTCCCGAACTTGCGCGGGATGGAGAGCGTAATTGATTGGGGCACGAACCATTTTCCTTTAACTATAACCATCCTTTCTTTCCACTTCTTTTCGGATGAAGGAAGGTTCGTGCATATCCTCTGATGAAGGGGAGAGGTAAAAAAGAAGCGACCAGGCTCGGTCCCATGCTTAGATATATTGTAAGTAAGCAGAAGGTCGGTAAGGGTCAAATCCAGAGCCTTTAATTTCCGACGCACCAACAGTGCCGAAAGGATGCGAAAGAAATTAGGATTTACCTGAAGGGGGGCAAGACCTAGCTTATTGAAAACTAAATGATAAAAGGGATGAAGAGGGAATCGGAGGGCGTTAAGATGCCCTACCGAAAGAAGCAACTCATCCTCCTCAATTCCCTCGCCGGAGGTAAAATCGGCACCCTCGGGATATTCTGCAATTTCTACTCCCTCAGGAATATCAAATACTTCCATTACCGAAGTAATAGAGAACTTGATGCGGCGAATAGAGATGATTGTTTTTTGCTCTTCATGAGTAAGAACATAATCAGAGCCTGAGGTGGATGTCTCGGTTGGAAGAGGGGAAGTACCTAATGGATTCAACGAAAGGCGATCTGTAAAAACCCTAGGAGGGGGAGCCCTAATGCGAACGAGGGAAGATGAAGGTGTGGATTCAGAATCCTCAAGGTCTATACGTTCAGAAGTAGATGAAGTACTCATAATGAAAGATTGAAGAGAAAGATGCGAAACTAACCTGACAAAGCGATGGAATGAAGAAAGCAGAAGTGCAGCAAGGGCAAATGTAACTCTTGCAAAATCTTGTATAACGGAGTAATAATGAAAGACCTCGAACCGTTTCTGAAGCAAAGTAAAAAACCGATTTCAATTCCCTCTTTAATAGGAGCCGTCACTCAATTAAAAATGAAATTTGGGGCAAAGTGTGGAGGGAAAAAAACTCCCTCCAATAAAAAGCGCACACGTCACCACTACACATATCTACATTCCAAGGACATATAAGGCCCATCATGCTCAAGCCCAAATTAAGGGTATTTACAGCCCAAGATCATTGTTATTTGTCCTCCAACCTCCATCAAGGCCGAATCAAGAAGTCATCAGCCCAGCTTGTTAATATTTAACATCCGGTCTGTTACTCAAGCCTAGCCAGATCAAAATATGTTCAGCCCAGTTATTCAAGAATGCACAAGTCCTACCAGTTGAAGGATTTACTGTAGAAGGAAAATTCTGAGATAGGAAGTTCTGTACAAGGCAAGTTCTATGTATGGAAAATTAGACAATGAAAAGAACTCTATTAGTAAAGAATGTTTATATATAAAGAATTGGAGGGCAAGCAACGCGAGTCCTACCATAATTTTGCAATCTTTTGTATATAAATAGAGGCTAAGACCTCCAATAAAGGGATCAAGCAATTCTACGTTTCTCTATACATTGTTTTTATTTATTTTTATTGCTTTTTGAGTGAGTTATTTTATTTTTCTCAATCATTATTGGTTGAACGAAATTTTGCACCTACACCCACCATTAGGCTTGGTTATTGCTTGTCTCTATTAAACGCAATTTCAACCATTCAACTTTAGCAAAAAATCATAGTTTTGCCCCTAGACCCAAATACTATTGAAATTGTCATAAGTGTGCCACTTTGGTGACTAAACACCCATTCCAATTTCAAGAATATTTATGCTTAGGATTGTAAAATGATTCAAGTTTTTCAAATGAATCCAATTTATATATACACAATATGCATCAATATAAAATATGAGGCAATATGCATAATAATGCATATGTTACCAATTTCAATACATTTATAGAATAATATCCAATTTAATTAATCCATTATAACAACTTTTTCTTTTACATATCAATTATATAGGATATGCTAATGGGTGTCCCAGAGTGATGTCATGTGTCATCATGTACTCAAAAGCATACACAATTAATATAACACAAACACTATTTGTATTATATACGTGGGATTTGGGAGAATTAGAAGTGTCAATCATTAGCCTCATCAAATGGGCCTAGTGGATAACTGTTGAATCAACCAATTACTTCGGTAGAGAGTCCATTCGGCTGTGTGTACTGGACTCTCATATATATATGTTACTCAATAATATATATATATATATATATATATTAATTGTGTACTCAAAAGCATACACAATTAATATAACACAAACACTATTTGTATTATATACGTGGGATTTGGGAGAATTAGAAGTGTCAATCATTAGCCTCATCAAATGGGCCTAGTGGATAACTGTTGAATCAACCAATTACTTCGGTAGAGAGTCCATTCGGCTGTGTGTACTGGACTCTCATATATATATGTTACTCAATAATATATATATATATATATACTCAAAAGCATACACAATTAATATAACACAAACACTATTTGTATTATATACGTGGGATTTGGGAGAATTAGAAGTGTCAATCATTAGCCTCATCAAATGGGCCTAGTGGATAACTGTTGAATCAACCAATTACTTCGGTAGAGAGTCCATTCGGCTGTGTGTACTGGACTCTCATATATATATGTTACTCAATAATATATATATATATATATATATATATATATATATATATATATATATTATTGAGTAACATATATATATGAGAGTCCAGTACACACAGCCGAATGGACTCTCTACCGAAGTAATTGGTTGATTCAACAGTTATCCACTAGGCCCATTTGATGAGGCTAACTAAACGGGGCTTATGATCTCGTGGTTCACTTTATATATATATATATATATATATATATATATATATATACTTGAGACATTGGTACAAAAGGCACTAAAACTTTATTACCAACAAAATAGATAATCACGTACAATATATCACATTATATTAGTGTCCTATCTAATCTAAAACATGGAGATACTGTCATAAAATTTAATGCATATAGAATGAATAATAAATTTATACATCAGAGTCCATGTCTAGCTCTGATACCACATGTAAGTAATTCAACGATAATAAAATACATGGTTCCAATGCATAAACCTTGTTTAGAAAACATACCTACCATCTTTAGCAGTTTGTATTTGAGATCAACTATATCAGAAACACTCTTCAACCTTCTACCTTTATCTGTGAAACTGAATGATAGATTCAGACCTGTCTTTCACGTGCACATATATATATATATATATATATATATTTATATATATAGAGAGAGAGGGGGGGGGGGGGTGCTGGGACCTTTTTCTAAACCTTACCAAAAGGAAACATATTGGTTCCATCAACCAACACACCCCTTTGTAAATAAATAACAGTCATAAATAAAAATGTAATTATATGATACAACATCACATCTCTTAAATATAGATAATTATAAAATTATTTAAATAAAAGTTAAGATCAATTATAATAAGACCATTTTTCTTACATCAAGTTCTAACCTAGGCAATGAACACATCAACTATGTAAGAATCATATCCAGCCACATACACATAGGTAAGGAAGGAATCCAACCTCTCAAATATAAGGGAAGGAACAAATCCAAAATTTTCAACACGGTATGTGGGGAACACATCCAATAATACATGTGATAATAATAGGTGAGAATATATCCAACCTTGTATAGATCGATTAGCTAATGAAGTTGTTACTATGTGACCTTGTATAGAACGATCGGCTAATGAAGTAGTTACTATGTGAGACAAACTCATCTTTTAACATAATCAGTAGAATATAACCACAAGCATGTATGGCCCACATCCAGAATACAAATACATAACCCAGTTAGACAATGTGCATTGTATCCCAAGTTACTAAAGACAAGTGTGTAAAACAATATGAACCAATGCACAAATATGATCTGTAAGGTCTAAGTAAATTTATACATTTAGTATCTCATTAAATAATCAGTCTCTAGTAAATACAAATAAAGATATTTGGTACCGTTTCCTAAACTTTACCAAAAGGAAACATGTTGGTTTCATCAATCAACACACCCCTCTGTAAATAAATAACAATTATAAATGAGAATGTAGCTATATGATACAATGTCACATCTCTTAAATATGGATAATTATAAAATCATTTAAATAAAAGTTAAGATCAATTATAATAAGACCATCTTTCTTACATCAAGTTCTAACATAGGCAATGAACACATCAACTATGTAAGAATCATATGCAGCCACATACACATAGGTAAGAAAGTAATCCAACCTCTCAAATATAAGGGAAGGAACAAATCCAAAATTTTCAGCACATTATGTAAGGAACACATCCAATAATACACGTGATAATAATAGGTGAGAATATATCCAACCTTGTATAGGACGATCAGCTAATGAAGTAGTTACTATGTGACCTTGTATAGAACGATCGGCTAATGAAGTAGTTACTATGTGAGACAAACTCATCCTTTAACATAATCAGTAGAATATAACCACAAGCATGTATAGCCCACATCCAGAATACAAATACATAACCCAGTTAGACAATGTGCATTGTATCCCAAGTTACTAAAGACAAGTGTGTAAAACAATATGAACCAATACATAAATATAATCAGTAAGGTCTAAGTAATTTTATACATTTAGTATCTCATTAAATAATCAGTCTCTAATAAATACTGATAAAGATATTTGGGTAATCACGAGTCCACTATCAACTACAACTACACCTCAAACAAATCATACACAAACCTACAAGAGTCTCTTTATCTAGGTCTCCAATAAACAATTTAGTACTAATTCCATCAGATAATTTTACGTACTAATTCTTCTGCAGACCAGAATAACAACTCCAGTAGAACTTCAATAATTAATCAACATCGATATCAATATGAAAATTATTCTAACAGTTTAGAGTCAACTAATTTCCTAATATGATATATAAGAGGAGGTAGGACTAAGATTAAACTTGCCTATTCGATTACAATACAGCTGTCTCTTCCAATTTTCCTCTGTAATTCATTTTGTCCAAACTCATAAAAATCAGTCAACCTTTATATAACCTTTTATATAAATGAACTATATAACTACACATATGAAACTACTTGCCTGATAATTTTCAAATAATTTCCCTGACTATAATACATTCTACATTATTTCTTTGTACTGCTAGTAATGATTCTACGTTATTCCTCTGGATCGCTAGCAACTCTATACACCATTGTATCCACTGCCGTTCTCAATTAAGAAACTCTCGCATCTGTAATTCTTTATACAATCATGACCTAGTTTTTTAGTTTCATGATAGTTGGAGATATATGTTCTCGTTTCATCTAATGGACAACGTGGTAGTTAGAGATATACCAAGGTGATGGTTAGAGATATACGGGCACACAACATCTAGGCACGTTTCGTGGTAGGGTTGGAAGCGTCAACCAATTCTATCCAATTACTCTTAAATTTAAATAATGATAATAACATAACCTGTAATACCTCTGTAATAAAAGGTTTTTATTTACTTATTTTATTTCATTTTATTTATCTTGGCTATTTGAATTGTTTGTGAAAATTGTTTTGGAGTGTTTATTTATTTGTCATTTAAAGGTTAATTATTTAGTGGAAATTCTTTAGTTAATTGTAAATTTTTTATTGATGTTATTTTATATATTTTTTTTATTTAGTTGTATGGATTGGTAGGTATATATATATATATATATTAATGTGATATATATGGATATATATGTGTATATACATAAAGGAATATACTAGTATTACACAGTAATATTAATGTAACTTTATTATTATTATTTAAATTTAGTTATTAGTAATATTACTTTATAGTTTATTAGTTTTCAATGACAAATGTGTTATTGGATGGTTATGATTAGTTTATGACTAGTTTTTTATATTTTTGGGTCTGTTAGTGGTTGGGTTAGAATAGACTTAGTGTAGTTAGTATATTATATATATATATATATATATATATATATATATGTATGTTAATTCTGTAGGAACTCGGGGTATTGAAAGGTATTACGAAGTTCATGAATGTCATGAAATGATACATTGCCATATATGAAATGAACATTACTTTACGACTATTCACAATTGCTAGATATCCATAGGCATGCTTCTCCTTACCACAATTAATAAAGGAGAATTCATGTAGGCATTTATTCAAATACATGGCATGCAAATTGAACATACACTTAATCTTAAACCAAGAGATCACAAATTTATCATATTGATCATGAATTTCTTAAATAGCAAGAAAGGAAGCACATTTATCACATCTAAACACATAAGAGGCATGGAATTTCCACATATTACGACAAGTAAGCATGAGTCAAATATGTAGGAAAACATATAGCTCAAATAACACAACTATAATCATTCTAAACATGTTTTAATCAAGGTAATCATAGAGTATACTTACAAAGACATAGCACTACACAAGTTAGACAATCCCTATCTCTTGAAGAGCAAAACCCTAAGCTTGGCTCCACTTGAAACTCCACCAATTGAATGCTAGGACCACCAAAATGAAGAGAGGGATTAGGAGATCAACCTTTCCTCTTGAAACCGTTCCAAAAGCTCAAGTCTTTGCCTAGGACGAAATCCCAAGGTGTTCCAATGGCGAAAAAAATTACATCATCTTGTAGCTCTCGTCAAACCCTTTCACTTTGCTAACTATCACCCTCAAATTCTGATTTGAACTTGAAGAAATCGAAGGTTAAAGGAAGTGGGTTTGTCTACAACCAGGGGCGGAGCTAGGATTGCAAAGTGGAGGGGCTAAAGATAAGAAAATTTGAAGATTTTATCTACATACCTTCGATCATTCAACGTTAGTTTGCTGCAAATGAAGGAGAGAACAGAGTTAAGTCTCATGAATCACGAATAGTTAGTTAGTTAGCTCTTGACTCTTCTTGGCTAAATTGGTTAATTGGTTTGCTGAGCTATAGCTTTGGTTAATTGGAAACAAGACTAATTCGCAAAGTTGTGTTTGGACAGTCATTTATAAAGGCATTTATTGGTTCTAGGGTTTTCAATTCAATGATATTTTCTAATTCAAGAAAAAACAAAAGGAGTATATTTCTAAATTATAAATTGTTTTAATTTTTCTTTTTTTATCTTATTTATTTCAAATCCTAATTTTAGATCTTTAGTAATAATTATAACATTTGAAAAGTTCGTTTTTCTTGTTGCATTTTAATATATATATATATATATATATATATATATATATATATATATTACACATTGGATTCTTGGAAAGAAAGATGAATACTGCTCATTGTTTGAATTGTTTAATTCTATTTGTTTGTTTAATTACGAAATTGGATTGACGTGTAATGTTACATTTTTTTTTATGGTATTATTAATTGATCGCTAAAAATTGCAACAAAATAAAATTGGTTGGCTGGGCTGTAACTTTAGTTAATTGGTTTGCTAGGCCGTAGCTTTGGTTAATTGGTAATTGGTTTGTTGGGCTGTAGCTTTAGTTAATTGGTTTGTTGGGTTGGATCATTTATCATTTATATTTTATTGTGAATTGAACTGCTTGGACTGGGCTATGGCTGATAAGAAGTAGTATTACTAAATTTATTTTAATTTTTGGACCCGGTTATAGCCTAGGTTAACCCAAAGTATGCTCCGCCGATCTAAAAAAAAAAAAAAAAAGGTAGGGAGAAGGTGAAGCTAAAAATCTAATATCCTCCCTTTTGTAAAAGATTGGTCAATGGACCCACATGCCCACCCCCAAAAACTCCAAAATACCCCTAAATGAAGATATAATTACCCCAATGCCATTTACACACACACACACATATATATATATATACATACACACACATATACATTAATGGTACAAATTATGTCCAATATCCGGGCAAGAGTTTCAAAATATTATACATTCAGGATGCATTTGTTTCAACGTAAAATATTTTTTTAGAAATTTTTTTCTTTTTTCAAGTAAAATATTTTTTTATTTTTACTTATTCGGTTTTCGGTAGAGGTCTAAGTCACCATCGGACAAGACGTGTAAAATAGTTTGTTGAAAATTGATTGATAAATTATATTTGTTAAATTTTAATATTTTTTCTTCGTAAATATTTTTGACAACCAAACACCAAAACATAAAAAATTATTTTTTGAAAAATAATTTACAACGGAGCGTCAATCATGTGTGTCTATTAGATATAGAGAGTAATAGAGTGAGGTCAGTGTAATTCTTGGTTTATTTCTGCTCATTGTTTGAAATGCATAATTCTGTTTGTTGGTTTAATTACGAAATTGGACTGACTTGTAATGTTCCATTTTTTTATGGTATTATTAATTGATCGCTAAAAATTGCAACCAAATAAAATTGGTTTGCTAGGCTCTAGCTTTAGTTAATTGGCTTGCTAGGCCCTAGCTTTGGTTAATTGGTAATTGGTTTGTTGGGCTATAGCTTTGGTTAATTGGTTTGTTAAGCTGGATCATTTATCATTTATATGATATTGTGAATTAGGCTGCTTGGACTGGGCTATGGCGGATGAGAAGTAATATTACTAAATTTTTTCTTTTTTTGTTTTTTCTTTTAGCCTGGTTATAGCCCAGGTTAGTCCAGAGTATGCTCCGCCCGTCTACAACACAAAGGATGAAAAAGATAGAGACCGAAAAAAAAAAAAAAAGGCGAGAGAGAGGGAGAAAGTGAAGCTAAAAATCTAATCCTTTGTAAAAGTTTGGTCAATGGACCCACATTCCCACCCCCAAAAACTCCAAAATACCCCTAAATGAAGATATAATTACCCTAATGCCATTTTCGCATATAAACATACATACATATATATATATATATATATATATATCCACTTATATATATATATATATATATATACACACACACACACATTAACGGTACAATTTATGTCCAATATCCGGGCAAGACTTTCAAAATATTATATATTCAAGCTGTACTTGTTTCGACGTAAAATATTTTTTTTAAAATTTTTTTTCTTTTTTTAGGTAAAATATTTTTTTTATTTTTCCTTATTCAATTTTCGGTAGAGGTCTAGGTCATCATCAAATGAGACGTGTAAAATAGCTTGTTGAAAATTGATTGATAAATTATATTTATTAAATTTTAATATTTTTTTCTTCTTAAATATTTTCGACAATCAAACACCAAAACATAAAAAATTATTTTCTAAAAAATAATTTACAACGGAACCTCAATCATGTGTCTATTAGATATAGAGAGTAATAGAGTGAGGTCGGTGTAATTCTTGGTTTATTATCCGGTTGATTTTGTAATTGTAGTTATTTATTTATTGTTTAGCCTTATTTCTATAAATCAACTATTTAATTATGTCAATTTATCAACATGTGATCCATTGCGTGTATTTTGAATTGATTAGTCTCACTCACAGTAAGGAATGGGAATATTGTGAAAAATAAAAATAATAAAAATATAAATTTATGGCACCATAGAGGCAAGTATTTTTCTCTACTGTGTTGCTGTGTGTGTGTGTATATATATATATATCAGTATATATATACCGTATTTCAAATGGCTGGAATAAGGCAACGTAAACATCTTCAGACAACCACACGAACTGACTTTAATGTGAAGCCTCCAACGTGTCACTAAAGCCATCCATAAATTCCACATAATTTCTCACCTCCCGCTAATGTGCCGCCACGCAGGACTTTGAAGAACAATCATTCTCTGCTCTGTCGTCGGCCACGTCACCTCAGCCACTATACATCACTCCCTTAACGGTCGATTTAAGTAGACCATCACTCCCACCGTTGATTCTGCAGAAAAAGAAAAGAAAATTTTGTGGATACCGTAATTCGCGGTATTTGTAGACTTTCTACTTTAAACATCATGACTATCACTCTCTTTCGTTGAGATTCACAAGAACCACCGGAATCGCGAGTACTTCACCGGAAAACCCGCCGTCAACCAGCAACGGTCGCCGGAATTTGTGCCATCTATTAGAGGTACGGTTCTCTGCATTGTTATTTTGTTTAATTTTTGGAATTTTAGTGTTATTTGTTTGGTTTTATAGCAATTCTGAACCAACCTAGCAAAATTTTCTTCAATATTTCCCCCAAATATAGAAAATCAAGCATGCACACCATATATATATATATATATATATATATATATATACACAGAGAGAGAGAGAGTTGCTATCTTTCACTTTGCACAGAGTCGCCCTTTGGCATTCTTAATTTTCTATTGCAATTGTAACCAATTTAAATACCAAAAATTTTGGCCCTTGGTGAGTGGACTGTGTTTGATCATGAAACTAGATAATTAAACATGTTAACCATTTGATAATGAAACTAGATAATTAAACTGTGCTTGCTTTTCTGCCATTTTTTTCAAAATCAGCACTAATTTAGTGATGTGTGCTTGAGTTTGCAATGATTAGATTGTGGCCTTGCTGTTTTTTAGAGGGTATCACACGGAACTAAAACCCAATTGATTGTCTAACTAAGTTGTAGAAGATTTTAAATTGTTTAGCTTGACTATTGATGATTAATTTTAGGGGTTAGAGGTCAGTTGACGAATTTAAATTTATATCATGTTAAGCTTAGCTATACAATTAGGCATTATCGAATGCCAAAAGGGGAAGAGCGGAAACAAATGCTACATTTGGCATTATTTTGCATAAAGTGGTTGCTCTCGGCAGAAACCCGCACCCTCGTACTTGTCAATTGCAGCTTTTAGCATTGCACTAAGCGATATTGTGAAATATTTACCATTGCCATATTTTTGAAAGACTTCAAATAATTCAGGCTATGGGAGTTATATTTTTCCAAGACTGTCTCATTATTTCAAACAAGTGAAACTTGAAATTGTATGAGTCATAATAAGAGCTGTATGTATCTTCTGCAGTCTCCTAGACCTGTGTGGCAGAAAACTCTTATTCATAGCATAACTTCCTGACAACTGAGCATGGGAGTTGTGACCGTTCCTAGTTCCGCTTCTCGGGCTCTGTTGGGATTGAAAGCAAGATTCTTGTCTTATCAAGCTCCATTGACAAGACAATTAATTTCAGCATTCAAGCAAGATAAACCAAAGAACAAAGCTTTAGTCAAATCCCATGATTCGATCGTTTTACCGATTGAGAGACCTAAAGAGAACCCGAAGAGACGAAGAAGAGTTGCAAAGCCTCTAGAAAGAGTAAAAGCTTTCTCCAGAGATGAAGCCATTCCATCAACTTTGGAATTGGATTACAATGAAGCCGCTGCCAAACTTGAAAATATATACAAGCTTAGTCCCACAGGTTATGTTTCTGATGAAGAATATATAGATAGTGTGGTGAAAAGACGGCAGCAACGGCGGAAGAAGATTGGGACAGATGATGAGAAAGCAGTGAAGAAAAATAACGAAGTGGGGAATAGAAGGAAGAGAGCAAGAAGATTGACTCTTGATACGAGGATTGCATTAAGAAAGAATGAGAAAAATGAAGTGGTTCCTTCAATCCGTAAGAAAGAACATGCTGAGGATGAAGATGAAAAAATTAATAGGCTTGTTAGGGAGTATTCAGTTTCAGCCGACTTGATTAGCTTCGACTGGAAGAAGATGAAAATACCACCAGTTCTCCCATCTTCTGAACACACATGGCTTTTCAAGTTGATGCAGCCTATGAAGGTAATCCTTTTTTTCAACTAAACAACAAGAATAAGAAGAGGAAGACGCTCTTTCTTGGTTATAGATCTTTGTTATTTGGGATTTGGTTGTTTACTTTGCCTTATTAAACTTCGTAGTTTTCTGCTGCTAACTCATGTAAGGTCGAAATCAGGCACTCAGTCAAGTCAAGGATAACTTGCAACATGATTTAGGGCGTGAACTGACAGATGTTGAATTAGCCAAGGCAACAAATATGACTGCAGTTCAAGTAAGAAAGAATATGGAGGTTGGTCGAACTGCCAGAAACAAGCTGATTAAGGTAACTACTATTATTTACCATACCTAGTTGATGTTACTGCTAAAGGTTGTTCTTAACACTAAGTGATTACTTAACTAAAGGAGGAAAGAAGGAAAAATGAAAGCGTTCAGAGGGCTCGTTTAAATGTTTTTTGAACATGTCCCCAGTCAAATGAAAATGGTCTATTTATGCTACTTAATTTTTAGCTTAAATTAACCTGTAGCAATTAATTACTTATTGAGTTGAAACCTGAAATCTTTAGCTACATTGATTTCTTTCTCTTTTATGTTTTAGTAACGAGCTTATTTTCTCATCTTTGATCAAACAGCATTTACATTAAATCACTTAATATGAACACGTTCCTTTTTGAGTAGTATATAATTTGCATATCCCAAAAGGTGCTAATGGCTATTGAAGTAGTAAACTGCGATTTGCTAGCTTAAAGACCAAGGATTAATTATCCTTCAAGTCATAGCTAAGCTCTAGATTGCAATTGTGATGTTTGAATCTCATATTTAAAGAACTAATGTTAAATAGAAAGATAGGGTTATTTTTCCAATGTAATTCACAAAGATTTTCCATGTGGTGACAAACTATGTTAGAATTTGTCCGCGTGTGCATGCATGCCTATTTGTGTGCATGTGGGAAGTGGCATTTCTTAATCATCAGCTCCATAACCAGGTCCCATAACAAGTGTTCAGTTTCAGCTTTTGAACCCGAAAGTTGGATCATAAAATTGCACATGGTTTTCATCAAAGTTTTGTGGCATAAACCATATGCAAAACTCTTAATTAGTCATTTTAAAATTTTGTTGCAGCACAATCTCCGGCTTGTTTTGTTTGTGATCAACAAATATTTTCAAGAGTTTGCAAATGGTGCATTCCAAGACCTCTGTCAAGCAGGAGTGAAAGGTCTTATCATTGCAATTGACCGTTTTGAACCAAGAAAGAGATTCAGGCTCTCGACTTATGGTCTATTTTGGATCAGGCATGCCATAATACGATCCATGACTATCTCAAATTTTACACGTGTTCCATTTGGCCTTGAGTCGGTATGCTTACTCTTTCACTAACCTTTTTTTCTCCTTTATAGTTGTTTTACAGTTACATAATGATGAATATACATAATTTATTCTTCTGAAGAGGAGAAAATTTGCTGCCTTTCTTTTAGTACTCCTATTAGACTATTATTCTTTGGGGAGGAGTGGAGGGGAGGGGAGGGGATGAAGTTGATGGTTGCCTTAGTTAACAGAGACATCTCAAAGCTTTGATTTTCCAGGTCCGAGTAGAAATCCAACGAGCAAAGCTAGAGTTGCTGTTTGAGCTTCAAAGATTGCCAACAGTGGAAGAGATAATAGAGAAAGTCGGAATCTCTCCAGAGAGGTACCATAATGTGATGAGGGCCTCAAAAGCTGTCGTCTCTCTCCATGCTAGACATGCAACAACACAAGAAGAGTTCATCAATGGAATTACTGATGTTGATGGTGTTGGAGGTGATAATTGGAAGCAACCTGCTCTTCTCAGGATTGCTCTTGATGATGTGGTAATCACTTATTGCCTTAATCAACCTTGCATTCCTTATCGCTATAAGTATTGTTGTGTGTATCTTATATTGTTGGTTGTTACTTGAATTTGTTAATTTATTCTCAATTTCATCTATAATTACAGTAAAATGAGTGGTGTTTCAACTCTAAGAAAGAATTGTTCAAGTCTCTGTAACTGCATATTGAAATAGACTATAAGACCTAGGGCTAGTACTGATCTTTGTCACCTCTTTCTTAGTAAAGCTGGAAGTTAAAATGGAGTCCTATTTGACATTGAGAATACTTATCAGACAGAAGCCATAAGCTCTTATTAGAGTTCTAGACCTAGAGAAGGGGGTGAATAGGTCTTAAACTGTTAACAAATTAACCTTAACGATTTTTTGAATTATAACTAAATAAATAGAAAATTTAAAAGCCAACTAATTTAACAAGTGAATAGCTTAACCAATCATTGTGATAATCATGCATGTCATAACAATAAAACTCTAAAGTAAATCAATCACAAAGAATATCAAATTTTACGTGGAAAATCCAGATGGAAAAATCCACAGGACCCTACCGAGCAGATAAAAGTTCACAATTTAGAAAGAGGTTACTGTCTAAGTTACCAGACTCTACTACCAAGAATCCATTAATCTCTCCAGACCCATACTTATGTAAGACCAATCCCAAATCCTTCAGCTTCTGATGAGTCAGACTCATACTTATGTAAGCCCTATAGCTTGTATTAGTCTCTTGCTAGTTTATAGATATATACATAAAAATAGGATTTTACAGTAGCTTAATTCGAGAAGTAAAGTCAGAACCGAGCTGCTTTATCGATCAAATGATTGACACAAGGCCAGTAGGATTTAATATATTCTTCGGTCCAGGCACGGATCTGTGAAGGGCTCAGTGGGGGCATCTGTCCCTACTGAAATTTTTTTTTATTGCATTTTATACATCTAAATTTATATTTTTTTGTATTTATACCCATAAAATTTTGAAATTGTACCACTGAAATTATAAAAAAAAATAAATAATAAAAAAAAAAACCCTTTATATAAATTCCCCCCCCCTATGAATTCCTAGATCCGTCCCTGCTTCGGTCAATCGAAGACTCCTGTCTTGATTTGACTTGGATTCTTGTTTTAATTTTGTTTCTAAATTCACTTTTAATGCATACTGGAAAAGGATTCTGAAAATTAAATATGCAAGTCATGCAATTCTAATTACCATATGCAAAGTCCTAATTGGTGAGTGTCTGAAATCAAGTTATGAATTACCTTTTCAGCTTTCTACGTGTGAAATTCCTGTTCTGCCCTTGGACAAAGTACCACAACTAACTTGATTACCTAGACACTAGAATAATATGAAACATAGACTCCAAGTTTTGGTCACAAAATTATCCAACGTAAATCCTATATCCTAACAGACAAGTCAGTACTGCAATTGCAATAGAATTGGTGTACACTTATCAATAGAAGCCACAAAATGCTCCCCAATTGACAGTAGTTTGTAAAACCTTTTTCTAATAATTCTTATTAATTTTCTCCATAAAATGCAGTTTTTATTGATAAAATAGGACTTCTGATCTGCCATCACATGTCCTTTCCCAGCTTGATTCTCTGAAGCCTAAGGAGAGCTTGGTTATCAGACAAAGATATGGGCTTGATGGTAAAGGCGATAGAACACTGGGAGAGATTGCAGGGAACTTGAATATCTCAAGAGAAATGGTTCGGAAGCATGAAGTGAAGGCCCTCATGAAGCTCAAGCATCCAGCTCGAGTGGATCACCTTCGTGAATATATTTATTAGAGAAATCGACCTCATTTGTTTTAATCATTGATACGTACTCTCGTCCTTCCTCTTGATTTGAGTCTCTCCACTAGGTGTTGTATACTAATTACTTATGTCATATACAGTTTCTTAATAAAACATAGAAGCCACATACCACATTTGTTCTTTATTTTTGAGCACTCAAGGATGCTAATGCCCAAGTACATAATAATTGTAATAATTTTTTTTTCCTTATAAGAGGAAGATGTTTTTACACAGTTTATAGTATATACGAAGCCTTCAGAACATTATTTGTATGGTTGATGACATTGCACTTCTTGCACATATTCCATGTTTATGGTGCACTTTCTACACTTGTACATTCAAAGTTGCATAAATTGCAGTGCGAATAGATTCTACTTGATGTCTCGAGATTGAGGGTTCAAGTCTTGGTAGAGACAATTTAGTAAGTGCCTATGCGTTTTCTTGCTTGAGCTTTCGAGAAAAAAACCCTTAGGGCAATTTAACTACAACCTAGATCCTTATCTACCTCCCCTCACCCTATAGCATATGTGATGGCTATAACAAGGTAAGTAAATAATAAATATTACCTTTGATTCCAAATTGAACTCCTTTTCAGCCACTCTTTCACAAATGTCAATGTTCATGTTAAGCACTTCGAATATGACTAATAATCATTGAATTACATGTCAGATGGTTGCTTTAATTTCCCTGTTGTTTCTTCTTAAAGTTCCAAAACTTTACCAATCTCACTGTTCCCTAATTATGCCGAAATCAAAGTATAGCATTTGAGGATGATATTTTCTTCACAAATCATATTATAACATTTCAGGAGTTTTCTCAATTATCATTCCACCCTAAAATATTTATATAATATTAACAACAATGAATGAATGAATAAATCAAATCAGCTATTCAGCGTGTAGTGCATCACTACCCGGTATCAATGAAAAGTTGATTTTTTTTTAATTATTATTGTTATTATTATTATTATTATTTTATCATGAGAAACTAAGAAAAGAGCGAGCTCACCTGCTACGAAAGTGAAGGGATTTACCAATTAATTATTGAATAAATTCCTATTTATTTATTCACTCCAACAGAGCTGGGAAATCTGTGCCCCCATTTGGCATATTTTGAAATCATAAGAGAGTATCATTTTACTTCAGTAAATTGCAGTATAAAGCCTGTACAAAACTTGAAATTCAGGCTAGTCCGCCACGTGTGCAGTTGTCTGACAACTCAAAGCAGCTCTCTTCCAACACCATGCATGATGACACGTGCCCCTCCTCCTCAACCACCTCTCTCTGCAACTCTGCCTCCAATCTCTCTCACTTCTCTCACTCTCTCTCTCTCTACCTATACCATACCAATCTTGATTCATCAGAATGGTGAAGCTTGCATCGGCCAGAGAGAGCCGGATATACGGACCCCGGCTGGCTCGAAACCGGTCCGAGTACATGAACGCCGGCCTATACGTGTTCGCCACCATTGTTCTTCTCTGTGGCTTCGCGGCTCAGCTCTCCAGCGAGCCGAAATCGGGTTTGGTTCTTCTACTCATAGGCTTAGCTCTCATAATCTTTGTGAACGTTCACGATCTCCTTGCTCATCTCGCCGGCATCGATTACCGGTTGCCGTTGATGGAATTCGACGTCCAGCTCGGCCTCGTCGAGTTCGCCGTCCCCGTGGTTCAGATTACAGCTACACTTCTCTATTTCTTGGGGATTCTTTTTATTTTCATTCAGGTATGTTCTTGTTTGTTGTAATTGTGTCCAAAAATCTCTATCTTGGTGTTATGTTGATGATTATGTTCATTGGACATTTTGATTTAGACTTTTATATATATATATATATATTTCTAATTGTGGAAGAATTGATTGGAAGTTAGTTTTTGATGTGGTCTGATTACCACTGAACAATGCAAAATGATCAGTAGACAGATTAAACAATGCAAAACACTGTTGACTAATGGACAGTATTTTCATTTTATTTATTAATTTTTATTGTTATACCAATGTTATATCATCATTACCTATCAATGACTATGTTAAGTTTATACCAATATTAATTTTTTAGACTATTTCAATGGAGATGGTGGGCTAATGCATTCAATTGGAATAGTGCGCTTGAATAGCACTGTTCTTGTAAAAAACTATGCTTTACATTGGGACTAGGGCTACAGTAATCTGGTTGTTTGAACTTGGCTTGATCAATCAAATACTCAATTGAATTCGCACGCCGAGCCTAGATGCCAACGTTGGAGTGCTTATGGAACTTGAGCTCGGCTTGTTTAGCTAATTCCTAGCTCATACTTAAGCCCATTCTTATGCCCCTAGTTGAGCTTACTCAAACTTGTGGTCAAGATTGATAAGAAAAAGAAAAAAAATTTATTTCGAAACTCGAACAAATCCTATATGATGAACAGGTCTCATAAGCATTCATAAATTTGTTCACAGACACCTATATATATATAAACATGTCAAGCTAGTTTTGTTTACCTGACCGGCTCAAAAATGTTGTTAAAGAGTTTGGCTCATTTATTTAGCAAATAAACATGAATCGAGTTCTTATCAAGCAAGCCTGAGCTGTCATGAACAGTTCATTTGTAGCCCTTATCCAAACTCTTTCAGTACTTATTCATAGTGTTTTGGATAGAATGTAAATTATAGATTAGTTAAGGTGGAAAAGAAAGAAAGTAAAGGATGGTAGTGTACTCAAGACTAACGAGCCATAGGGGTCATTGCTGATGTAGTGGTAGAATACTGTATCGGTCTCTCAAGTGCATGAATGCGTGTTCGAATCCTGAGAGCAACCACTTGTATTGAGGATTCTGTGAGATGCAAGCTCTCTTTCTCCTTTCTATTTTGTTTTCGAAAGTTCATTATCCTTTCTATTTTTTCCTCAGTTTTTCGCCGAAACATAAGATAAGCTCTTTACAACCTCCTTTCTTTTTATCTCCTTCAGACTCCTCCATTCCAAATAGACTCTTATGCATGAGTGGTCATTATTCCAGAAGGGCTAAGGAAGGAGCTTCTGTTAGCATCCCTACTTTTGTCTCCTTCAGACTCCTTCAGTTAGAGGGCCCTGTCGAATCTTGTACTTCATAGGTATTAATGTATCAGAAAAAAATTCCAACCACTTCCCATATTCTTGAAGCCTTCAAAATTTTCGGAGGAAGTTCTATAAACTCTTCAAAAGGGCTTACCTTCTTTCAGAAAAAAATTCAATGCATATGCTAAGACTCATACAAACATACTAAAACACTGTTTCTTACAATTTGGTATAAATATCATTCATGCTTGTATTTGATCAATTGCCACTAGGTTTTTTTAGTATTCAGGTAGAAGTAATTGTTGTCTTATAAACATTTATAAATTATATATATGCTGCTTATTACTGCGATACACAAACATGAGTGGCACTAAGCTTGTGGAACCCAAGCACTCCCATTTTATTTGGTTTCATAATCAGCTAGGATGGCTCATAACTGTAACATGTATTGTATCTGAAAGGTGTTGTGATCTAATCCTACGAGTAACATTAACATTGTAGTACCTTCCGGAAAAAGAAAATATATATATATATATTAACGTTGTAGCTCTCAATTTTTTGGCTAGTATAATTCAATGCTCATTTCTTTTCTCTCTTTATTATTTTTATTTTCGGTAACCAAACTCCTCTTGCATTGTACTTAAAATGTCTTCATCGGTTAATGATCTGCAGAATGCAGGAAGAAAAAGGATATGGTTAATTTACGTTGGAGCAGCATGCTTTGAACATTCTTAATGGCCTGTATTTAGACTAACAAGCTACTCCCTCATTCTCTTTTCTTTTTCTTCCTCATTTTTAACACTAAACCAAACAGACTCTTATGATTAGTGACTATTCCTATTTTTCAATTACACATTTTTTGCACATCAGTTAGAGGGCCAAGTTGCATCTCGAACTTCATAGGAAATTTAAGCACTTCTCATTTCCTTGTATCCTTCAAAATATTTGTGGAGGTTCCATAACTGTTCAAAGGGCTTACCTTCTTTCAGAAAGATTTCAATGCATTTTGCTAAAGAATATTATGCAAACATACTAAAACATTGTCTCTTGAAATTTGGATAGATCACCTAAGATCATTCTGTGCTAGTACCAATGATCAATTCCGATTTCAGTAGAATCAATTGCCGTCTTCTAAAACGTATAGATAATTTGCAGCCTATTACTGCGATATACAAACATGAGTGGTAATGAACTGGAGGAACCCAAGCACTAAACTTCCGGAACTGTTTTATGTATTGCATCTGAAAACTGTTGTGATCAAATCCTACAAGTACCGCTGTAGCTCCCAATTTTTTGACAAGCATAATTCAGATGTGATCATTTCTTTATTACTCTTTTTTATATTTTTGGGTTGCTACTCTTGACTTTATCTATTAAAACTACAAAAACTCCTTTTGCCATGTACTTGCAATGTTTTCATCTGTTGATGATCTTCAAAATGCAGGAAGAAAAAGGATATGGTTATGATAAGTGGAAGCAGCACGCTTTGAACCTGCTTATCGCTGGTACTGTCTTGTGGCTGCTCGGATCAATCCACAATTCATGCCAGATCTACGAGAGAGCTGATGGGCATGTCCAAATTTTACAAGAGTGTGTTCTCATTCCATTCTTGATGGGGAGTTTGTTGTTCCTGGTGGGCTCAATTATCAACGTCCAAGAGCAGGCTAGTTCAGCCCATCATGGCATTGAGTTATTGGTAAGTCGCCTTGACCGATTTGGCATGTAGTTAGTGTTTTACAAGATACACATGATGTGAAAAGCAACTCTCGGTAAGGATGAGCTCTAATGATCTTAAAATAGTTGAAAATGGCTTAATTTTGAGTTGATCTAAATGGAGGTCCAGACAGTAGTTCACGGCATGTCTAGTGGTAGCCACTTGAAGGTGGTGTTTTTATAATTCCATGGATAGTTCAGTAGTATAATTGCTTACATTTCATGGTTAAGATATCATAAGCATCAACCATTTAGAGTTGATCTCTTTTGTGCAGGGAATGACTTGGGTCTGGTTGGGTATATTTGGGAGCATACTATTCTTTATTGGTGGAATAACTAATGTGGTAAAAGTGTTCAAGATGCAACAAATGAACGGATTGCGGCTAGAGAAGCTGCGAGGCGGGGCACAGGAGAGATTGATTCGAGTAAGGGAAGGGCAGGTTCGGATAATTACTCGAGAAAGAGAAGGCCAGGTTCCATTAATTCGAGAAAGGGAAGGCCAGGCTCCCTTGATTCTAGAAAGGGAAGGCCAGGTTCTGCCCATTCGAGACGAACAGAAGAGAAAAATGCAGGAGGAGGAAGGGAAATTGGTAGTAGGTCCTCCAACTCCTTACAAGGATGTGCTTGTTAGTGGGACTTGAGATATTGTCTGGTAATAGTTAGTCTCATGGTTCTAACATTATCTCTCTCTTATTTTTTGGTATTTTGTGTAGTCTCTTTTGATTTAGTTTTCTCCATGTTTACACTACTTATCAGAAGTTACATGGTCTGATTCAGTTTAAAAGAAGACATTACTTTTTCTCCTTTTAGTTCTGGAGCTAAAGCTTGATATATTTTACTTCATTTTTGTTAAGACCATTGATCGTTGTTTGCCTTGTGGATTAATTTTAGTTTTGGCTACCTAATCGCGAAGAGTTTGAGCCCCGCAGCGGGCAATTTGTGAAATGTGTGCGAGTACTTAACTAACCAAATATATATATAATGAAAGAATTTTAGTTTTGGCTTTGGTGTATCAAATATAAACTAGTCACCTTGTTTGGTTGGCTAATGTATTTTTTTCTCTTCCTGAACATGTCATGCAGTTTGGATTCTGTTCCATTAAAAATGCTTCATTGAATCTAAATTTCATTGGTTTTTTAACGGTTCATATCCAATTATAATATCAACAAAAACTGTGATAAATCATACTAGTTTAAATTAATGTGAAAAAAAATAAAAATAAAATAAAATAAAATAAAAATCACCTTGGTTTTTATCATATTTTTCAAGCCATTTAATATTTAATCGAAAAATTTACTATTCTAGTTTTATTTTAAATTTTATTGTGCTCGGTGGCATGCACAGAAGGAAGAAGATTAGGGGTTTCTTAACCATCATATTTTATAAACCCTTGTAGTAAGTAGGCCAGCAGTTGTGAAGAAGAAGAATTATTTGGGAAAATAACTAATTATTCCTACTTTTTTATTTTAACAAGTTCTAAATCTTTACCTTTCAAAAAAAAAATTAGTTCTAAAATCTTTCAACTTTCCGAAACTTTGCAACATCTAGTGGTACGAAAGTATGATGTATGTGTTGGTGTGTGTGTGTGAGTGTGTGTTTTTTTTTTTTTTTTGTTTAAAGATGAACCATTCCATCAGTAGATTAAAACAACTTAACACCGTTCCAATCCCAACGAAATAAGTCCACCAAGTGTACCAACGAAAGCAAGTGAGCTGCAAATTGAGTAGATGATCATTCTTTATGCATGTATTGAACATTATAAACTCTTTTTTTTCTTTTCTTTTTTCTTTTTATCATACTTAATGCAATAATTATCTTGTACTAGTGTATTTAAATGTTTAATTTTGAAGGAGTTAATTTGAATTAGATTATCTGAACTGTGCCTGATATAATTTTATGGCTTAATTGGAGAGGGTTTTACATTTTCAAAGTATACCATAGTGTAAGTCAATAATCACTAAAGAAAATTTAGAAGTGAGTTAACTGTGATTAGGTGATATATTTACATGTTTAATGTTTGGTGAAGCATTTGCACATTTTGTTTTGCTTTTCTATTCAACATTTGTACATCTTCCAACAACACACCATTTATTTTTTCCCGAAAGATTAAGCAAATTGTTTAATGTATAGGTAATTACAATGGACGAAGCAAGACCCAATGGCCCTAAAGCTAATGCTTGGTAACCGTTAACCACACAAGGCTCAAACCACGAGCCCTAAACCTAATGTATCAATCTGGTGGATGGGGAGGAGGTGTGGACTTGATCGATTCTTTCTCCCATTCAACCTCCATTCGAGTTTGTAAATATTGCAGCCAAGCACCGACGGATCCAGGGCCCACCCCAAAAAAAAAAATTTTATTATATCTAATTTTAGTCCAGCCAAAAATATATATATATATATATATATATATATATATATTATTACTATTAGTTCAGCCAAAAAATATATATATATATATATATATATATATATATATATATTATTACTATTAGTTCACCCAAAAAAATATTAGTTCACCCCAATTCTTGAATTCTGCCTTGATTGCAGTTCATCTCTAATTGATTCAATGACTCAATGGAGACTGTTCATCTCTAATTGATTCAATGACTCAATGGAGCACTGCAGTCTGTGGGAGGAATTGTCTTTGAAAATCCTTGCATTGAGATCTTGCTAGATGTGGCAAATGATTGCCGCGAAAGCCATCTTCAATACAAGAGTTCTATCACAATTGGTGATATTTGTTAGCAATAATAGCCATGTATTCAAAATAAAAATAAAAAATAAAAACCCACTTCTATCACAGTCCAATAAATATAAGTCATGCGTGTAAGAACGAGAAAGTCTACAATAATTCGGGGGTACCATACTCCCAGGGCCTCTTAGTCATTAGATCATTCATCAAGTGGGTCACATCACCACATTCAATGAATGAGAACCTCGGGAGTACTACCTCGGGGTATTGTAAACTTTTCCCATTTGAGAAAGTCTACAATACCCCGAGGGTACCGTACCCCCGGGACCTCTCAGCCGTCGGATCATCCATCATATGGGTCCCACCATATCTAATGTCTAGGAACCTCGGGTGTACAGTACCCCCTGGGTATTAGAGAATTTTTTCATTTAAGAAAGTTTACAATACCCGAAGGTACCAGGACCTCTCAACTATTGGATCATCCATCAAGTAAGTCCCACCATCATATCCAACGAATGGGAATCTCAGGGGTACAGTACCCCCGAGGTATAGAATTTTCTCATTTGAGAAAGTCTACTCTAACCTGGGGGTACGGCCTCTCAACCGTTGGATCATCCATCAAGTGAGTCTCACCACCACATCCAAAGGCTGGGAACCACAGGATACGGTACCATCGGGGTATTGTATATTTTTCCATTTGAAAAAGTCTACCATACCCCCGGAGCCTCTTAGTTGTTGGATTATTCATCAAGTAGGTCAGACAACCATATCCAACGATTAGGAACGTCAAGGGTATGATACCCTCGGGATATTGTAGAATTTTCCAATTTGAGAAAGTCTACAACACCTAAGGGTACCGTACCCCCGAGACCTCTCAGCCGTTGAATCATCCATCAAGTAGGTTCCACCACCATATCTAACGGCTGGGAACAACCAGCTCTTTGGGTTTATAAACTTTGATTTTTTCTACTTTATCTTATTGTATTATCAGTTGGATTAAAAAAAAAAAAAAAATTGTTATCTTTCAATCGAAGCACGGGGAGTTACTTATTCTTATGAAGAAGCATGAGTCGTCAAAGTCGCCTTCCCCGACACCAACACAAAAGGCCAGACCTACGTTCACAGGACGATGGCGTTGTGTGCTATTCATGCGTTGATTCATGCATCTTGCCTTCCCTAGGTCTTGTGAGAACCTATTCATTGTACTTTCATGTTTTGCCTGCACAATACCGAATTGGACTATCGACCAGTATTAATGTATTAGTTGGTTTTGGTTTGGCCAAAATTGGAAGCAACTCGGTGTTCCTAGAAGTTGTTGGAACATTTTATGTATGTGACATTTGTTCTGAAACTGATCTAACCCCGTGACAATATAGGGTTTATTGAAGGTCTCCCGATTTCATTCATTGGGCTTGTAGTCTCTTACTTTAGGCATTACCGCATAGATCTGCGCCCACTCATATGTATGTTCATGATTACACTTCTTTTTTATTTTCTGGTTAAATAAGACTTTGATTTTATATTTTTTGGAATTTCTTTTTTGTTTTGTTGTTTATGCATCTCTATGTGTGTAAATCTTTGATTTTAGTTTTGGAAGTGTTTTTTTGTTGTTTATGTACCCTTTTTTTTTTTTTTTTTTATGTGTGTGTGTGTAGAACTTTGATTTTAGTTTTGGTTGTTTTTCTTTTCTTTTTTTTCTTTTTTTTTTTTTTTTTTTGATTTGACCAGTGCATGCCGAGACTTGACAAGATTCACATCCCAATTATGTTCACAAACGAGAAAAATAGTTTCGTGTTTGGACCCTATGAGGGAACCACAAACATGGCTTTCTTGGTGGTAAGTCTCATTCTTCTGTCTTTTTATGGGGTTGTCAGGTGGTTACTACCCACCATTTTCATTTCCTCTTTGTTAATTATAGGGCGAGTAAGGAACTAGTTGGGACAACAAAATCAAACTCTTATTCGGGAAGTGAAGAAATGACGAAATGTTGGGTAAATAAATGTAAGTAATTAAGTTATGAGTGGTAGTAATGGTAATTATTATGAATATCAAGTAAGACTTAGATGGATGCTAGTCGCTGCAGAATTTTTAATTACAGTTAAGGTTATTTCCATATTATTACTCTTTATTACTGCATCTTACTTATATTTACGGTATGGACAAAGTAGAGCTTATTATTACTCTTTATTATTACATCTTACTTATATCTATGGTATGGACAAAGTAGAGCTTATTATTACTCATTATTATTACATCTTACTTATATCTATGGACAAAGTAGAGCTTGTTATTAGACTATACTTTCTCAAATGGAAAAAGTCTACAATACCCTGGGGGTATCGTGCCCCGGTGGTTCCCAAACGTGGATGTAGGGTGGGACCCACTTTATGGATGATCCAAGAGAGAAAGTCTACAATACCCTGGGGGTATCGTACCCCCTTGTTCCCAACCATTAGTTGTTGTGACGGGAACCACTTGATGGATGATCCAACAATTGAGAGGCTCGGGGTATTGTAAACTTTCTAAAATGAAAAAATTCTACAATACCCAGGGGTACCGTACCCCCGAGGTTCCCAACCATTGGATATGGTGGTGGGACCCACTTGATGGATAATCAAATGGCTGAGAGGCTCCGGGAATACGGTACTCCAGGGGATTGTAAACTTTCTCCTTAAAATAAAGAATTTATTACCAATAGTAATTAATAGAACCATCTCAAAATTTATCCTCTGTAATACCCCTAATTTTAAAAGGACAGTCCTGGAATTTAATTTAATTATTTTTTTTTTTATTAAATTAATTGATTATTTGTTTGTTTTGATTAATTAATTATTTACTTATTTGATTTGTTTTATTTTTAATTCAATTAATTGTGTTTTTCTTTCATTAATCGTTCTAAATTGTGTTTTCTTTAATTAATTGCTTAAATTGTATTTTGGTTTGTTTCATTAATTTAAATGTATTTCTCAAGTTTAATTAATTACGTGCTTATGTGAATTCACTGTTTTGGTAATTAGGGTTTCATGTTTTACATCGTGTCTAGGATTGGAGCCGACATATAATTGGTTTAGGCTTTACTTTAGGGTTTGGTTTAGGATTTAAATTAGGGTTTCAATTAAAACCTATAAATACATAAGTACGGATTGCCAAGGGTTTTGTTAACCCTATTCACGTAAAAAAAAAGAGTTGGAGAGACAAAGA